TGAGGACCCTCCACTTTTATTAAAAATATTTATACATTTATTTGAAAGGGAGAGTTACAGAGAGAGAGAGAGAGAGAGGTTTTCCATCCTCTGGTTCATTCCCCAAATGGCTGGAGCTGGCCTATCTGAAGCCAAGATCCAGGAACTTCTTCCAGGTCTCCCACATGGGTGCAGGGGCCCAAGAACTTGGACCATCTCCTGCTGTTTTCCCAGGCTCATTAGCAGAGAGCTGGATTAGAAATGGAGCAGCTGGGACTCTAATGGGTGCCAATAGAGGATGCCAGCCCTGCAGGCGGCAGCTTTACCTGCTATGCCACAGTGCCGACCCCCTACCACACTGTTTTCCATAGTAGCTGAAAAAGTTTGCATCCTCCCTAACAGTATGCAAGACTTCCAGTTTCTCCACATCTACATGAACACTAGTTACCTATTAACTTTTCGACATGTGAGGTGATACATTATATGATTTTTGTTTTGAATTTCCATGATAAGTAGTGACAGTGATAATTTTTCCATAGATCTGTTGGCTATTTGTATGTTTCCTCTGGGGAAATGTGTAATGAAGTCCTTAGGCCATTTTTTCAGAAGGCTCATTGGTTTTCATTATAGAGTTGTAGGAGTTCCTATATATTTTGATATTAACCCCTTATCAGAAGCTTTTTAACCTGATACAGTGCCCCCCCTCTCCATTTCTCTCTCGTTGTCTGTGCTTTTGGTGTCAGATCCAAAAACCCACTGCCAAAACAATATCATCAAACTTTCCCCTAAGTTTTCTTCTGGAAGCTTCAGGGTTTCAACTCGTATATTTAAATTCTTAATCCATTTTGAGTTGATTTTTGTAGTGTGATATAATGACTCACTTATATTCTTCTGCCTGTGAAAGTCCAGTTTTCTCAATACGAACAGTTGAAGAGATTATTCTTCTTCCATTGTGCATTTCTGGCACCCTTGTTGACGATCAACTGACGGTACAGCTATGGGATTTATTTCTGGAAAGTCTGTTCTGTCCCACTGGTCTATTTGTCTATCTTTATGCTAGTATTGCACTGTTTTGAGTACTGTAGTTTTGCATTATATTTTGAAATCAGGAAGTGTGATATATCCACTTTTGCTCATCTTTCACAAGAGCGATTTGGCCTTTTCTGTTCTTTTTGAGTTCCACATGAATTTTAGAGCTCTTTTTCTCTGCTTCTTTAAAAATTTCTTACGTGATTTTGATAAGATTGCATCAAATCAGCAGCTCACCTTGGCTCATACAGATTTGACACTATTAAGCTTTCAAATCCATGAACACAGAATATTTTGCCATTATTTGTGCTTCTCAATTGCTTTTATTCAGCTCATCTACTGTATTTTTTATTTCAACAATTATCTCCTTTAAATCTATGCCTGACACTTGGTTCTTTATATCTGCTTTTTTTCTGCCTCATGTTCAGTATCCCACCTTCCCTTGTCATTTTTTCACATAGTTATAAATCTCCTTTTAAATGTTTCTCTTATATCCATTTATTTTGTATTGCTTGTCATATATTGTTCTGTATATCATGTTTCTTTAATTGCAATTGTCTTTCTTAAATATCTTGTGTTTTCTAGATAATTCCTGTTGCTCTTGACTTATTACTTGGGCTGAAAATACATACTGGAAAAAGTTTAAAGTCCAGGTTATCACAGATGCCAGTCCTGGTGAGTATGGTGGGGTGGTAGCAGAGTGCTCTCCAGGGAGGTAAGTTCCTTGGGCTGCAATCTTGACTTAATCACTGTCTGTTTGTCTCATTCACTTCCTTCCAGATGATTCTGGATCTCAGAGAATCTCCCAGTTCTTCAGACATAGGCACTGCTGTTTTTCCATTAAAAGCTATGCTATAACCAATTAGTCCCAGGGTTGTGCGGGAGATTACCCCTGGGTAAAGAATAATCAGGCCGGCGCCGCAGCTCACTAGGCTAATCCTCTGCCTTGCAGCGCCGGCACACCGGGTTCTAGTCCCGGTCGGGGCGCCAGATTGTGTCCCGCTTGCCCCTCTTCCAGGCCAGCTCTCTGCTATGGCCTGGGAGTGCAGTGGAGGATGGCCCAAGTCCTTGGGCCCTGCACCCCATGGGAGACCAGGAGAAGTACCTGGCTCCTGCCATCAGATCAGCGCGGTGCGCCGGCAGCAGCGTGCCAGCCGTGGTGGCCATTGGAGGGTGAACCAACGGCAAAGGAAGACCTTTCTTTCTCTGTCTCTCTCTCTCACTGTCCACTCTGCCTGTCCAAAAAAAAACCAAAAAACAAAAAAAAAAAAAAAAAAAAAAAAAAAAAACAAAACAAAACAAAAAAAACAGAATAATCAATTCCCTCATCCAGCTGGACTCAAGGGCCACCCTGATATTATCCAAATGATCGCTCCTAGTAAGCGCTGCCACTTTTCTGGCTTTTGATGACGATGGGTGGATAGTTGGTTACCCAGGATCGTACGGAGGAGCCAACAGTGAAAACAGTCCCTTAGCCTATTAGCCTATTCTCTATGTGAGGTGCTCAGCTCTCCGGTGCTATCGTGTATAATTGCCACCCCTCCAAACACACAGGAGAACCAAATGAGTTTGTCTCCTGGAGCCTCTTACCGTTCTTGCTTTACATCTCAGATCTCTAACCCACCTTTCTACTTTCGGGTCATTTCCAGTGTTGGGTCTGAGAAGGACTGACAAGGACATAGGGTCAAGGTTGTCTTTGCAGAATTCAGTGAAGGCAGCAGACAGGGAGTGGTTGAGTCCAGATCATAGCAACAGTTTCACCCATCCTTCCAAATAACTCCCAGGGGCAGCCCAAGCTGGGGTGTTGAATTTAATTCTCCCCAGATCAATGTAAGCTCATCATCTTGTCAGAAATCAGAAACCCATCCATTCAAGGTTCAAAGATGTTTTCTGCTTCCATTAATTGATATTGTATGGGTAGTGGTATCATCAAGAGCACTAAACTAGGGGCCGGCGCTGTGGCGCATTGGGTTAATGCGCTGACCTGAAGCGCCAGCATCCCACATGAACACCGGTTCAAGACCCGGCTGCTCCACTTCCAATCCAGCTCTCTGCTATGGCCTGGGAAAGCAGTAGAAGATGGCCCAAGTGCTTGAGCCCCTGCATCTGCATGGGAGACCCAGAAGAAGCTCCTGGCTCCTGGCTTCGGATCCGCGCAGCCAACTGGGGAGTGAACCACTGGATGGAAGATCTCTCTCTCTCTCTCCTCTCTCTCTCTCTCTCTCTGCCTCTCTTCTCTCTGTGTAACTCTGACTTCCAAATAAATAAATAAATCTTAAAAAAAAAAAAAACACTAAGCTTTAAGAAATACCCATCCAGAGGCTGATTTGCTCCTAAAGAAAGAGTTGACTGGTGCAAACATCATGACAGGAAAGGGCATCTTCCTCCACTTGAAATAAGAAAACTCTGGTCTATCAGCACAAAGCAAGGACACGAAACATGGAAAGCCTTTAGGAGGGTGCCTCATGGCAGCAAACAAATAGGACTGTATGTGGAAACAAAGCATTAAGCTTCATGGGGGAAAATAATAGACGTACTCGTTGTAGAAATGTTACTAAAAGCAGATCTTATTTAATGCCAAAAATTGGGAAAATAAGTATGTGTGAGAAGGACCCCAAGGTCAGCTAAATTCGGAAGCAAGAGGAAAATTCCCTCACTGTATAGGATTCCCGGATCCCATTGTATTATCGTGCTGGTCATATTCTCTCAACTCTCAACTTGTACTGCATACAAGATAACCACTCACACTTGTGTAGGACTTGCAAACAGTCTTTGCACATTCTGAATGACAATGTCCTTGGATTCCTGGTGCATCTACCAACAAGTCCCACAGAGCCGTAAAATACAACCGAAGTCTACCTTCAAAATTCTCAGAATAATTTATCAAGGCACGATGTTTGTTAGAGATTTTGTGTGCTAGTCTGCACTAAAGTTGTTGCATGAGAAAGGGCAAGTGATATTGCTTAGCAAGGAAGACTTACTGCTTAGCATATGTGACCTATCCCAAAGGCACACATTTTTAATATATTCTTGTCTGAAATATACGCCAGAGGCACTGAAGTGGGGGTGCTGCCTTCAGGAAGCTAGGGACACATTACCACACCCCGTAATCCCGTGGTTGGAACACAGTGTTTACCTCCTGCATATTTTTAGGTCTGCGGGGAGATAAGGATTTATAACAGGATGCCAAAGGAAGTAAGTTGTTTTACAGAGAGGAAGACGGTATTAACCTTTACACAGAGTTTAATGTGAAGGAATACAAGGGTGTGGGGCATGTTTTACTGTTATTCTTGTGGGTTCCATCTCTGTCAGAATTGCGTTAAGCCCAAGCCTCAAGTGGACCTAGGAGAATACATAGCCATTTTTAACCTGTGATGTCTTTATTCTCTCTCTTTTTTTCTAACAATAAAACCCTGAGGATCTTAACTCCAAAAACTGATAGAAAGAAAGAAAGACAGACAGAAAGACAGAAAGAAAGAAAGAGGAAAGAAAAGAAAGAAAAAGAAGAAAAAAGGAGGGAGAAAAGAGGGGAGGGAGGAAGGAATAGAATTAATAAATGAATTCTTTTAATGAGAATTTTTTGTGCAAGGAGTATAAGGAAATAGTTTGGTAATAAATACAAGGGGTCTTCAAACAGTTCTTGGAAAATGTGCATTCTGAAAAAGTTTGCATGGATTTACAAATGCTTTTGCATCAATAAATAAAGTTAATTTTCAATTCCGTTTTCTGCGAATCTTTGGACGTCACCTTGCAGTGTGTTTTGCTTACTGCTGTTGTCTAGTTTCACTGTTGTGGCTGATCATCAACACAGGAAGAACGTGGGAGAGACATGGGAATTTATTCTTACCAAGGAATCCCGTTGATCAGATGGCATTATCAGGGCACCCTGAGAGCAAAGTGCATGTCTGCTTTTTCTGCAGTCACCACTGGTCACACTGCAGTTCTGGGCTCCTCCATCCTAACTGTGGACTCCGCGCCAGGCACACTCCTACCTTTCCTTGCAAGGTGCACAGCCTCTGCGTGCTCAGCGCTGGTGACCTCGGTGCCGTTGACCGCCAGCACCACGTCGCCTATCTGGAGTCCAGCTTCCTCGGCGGCGCTGTCTGCAGGCAGAGACACAACAAGGGATTCTTTCAGGGAGGGTCCCAAATTGAGTGCCCCGCTGTGTGTGCCCTTTTTCAAAAGCTCTTTCTCGAAAGGGCCTTTCTTTCCAACGGTAGACAATTGCTTCTGTCATGAATACGAAGGGAAATGCTCTCCCAGTGGCCGCAGCCTCCCTTTCATTTCCAGGATGCGTTTCCTTGCACATTCAGCCAGTCTGCGCGGCCTCTTTGCAATAGAATAGCGAAGCTGCTCAGAAACCCAATCTATTCAGCCCGCAGAAGGTTGCACCGCTAGTTCTCATTCCCTCATTGCTGCTGGGTCTCTTTGTAACCCTGAGAAAATCACTTAACCTCAATATCTTCATCTACAAAAAGGGGGGTGGGGCCGAGCTCCTCAGCAGGATTGTTGAGAGAGCAAGTAATTGAAATACTTATGAAGTTGTGGCAAAAACAGATCTTGCAGTAGTCAGAGAAAAAGGGGATAAAGAGCTGCTTTTTCTTTTACTGAACAGGCTCCTTTCTGAGCCATCTCAGGAAATCAAAAATAACCTCAGCCTAAGGAGTCGGGTTTTGGAAGGTGGGTAGGAGCGTTCCTGAGGTTATTTATTTTTTCCCTGGTTTTCTAACATCTGCACTTACTCAACACACCCAATATTTGATAGGGGTTAAAGAAAAGTGTGTAGTACTCATTTGCAGGTTAATTCATTTTTAATAAGTCTCTTCCATATATTTGACCAGAAACCTTCCTGCTGCAGTTTAAACCTAATTTTTCTTCTGCACTTCAACTGAAACCCATTTCTTGCTCCTGAGATATCAGTGCTGGCTGTATGAGTACAGTTCATGGACTTGCAACATATTACATAGCAGTAGCAACTCTTCCTATCTGGCATGTCAAACACCTACTGAAATAAGCATGCATGACTCAATTGGTGAGGGAACAGGACTTAAAAAACAGCTTTAGCAATGACTAAAGCTCATCTGCATCTATTTGTAATAGTAGGAACTGTTGTCTCTTCTAAGGGAAGCAATGGCTTATCCAATGTTGGAAAGCAGGCAAAAAGTAATATTTGACATTTCCATTCATTTATATAATAATGCTCTTATAATTAATTAAAATCTATGGTAATGTTGATCATTTGAATATATTCCTCCAATGTCTTAAATGACTCAAATGCCTTGATTGTGGCAATGCCTTTTGATTCAAATTCCAAAATGACAACATAGGTCCAGAGATAGTTTCTTATTGATTTTTGTATTCCTCATAGTATCAAACATTAAGTCATATATATATATATGTGTGTGTGTGTGTGTATGAAAAATAGTCTTTGAATAATAAATACATTTTGAATGAATGAATAATCCAAAAATTATATGTCATACTTTCTATCTTCCAGGAGCTTCAAATTCCACTGGGAAAGATAGGACATTGCACAATCAAAAAGAAAAGCCAATCTGTAATAGAGGGAGTGACAAGTATGAAATAAAAAACAAAGCCAATGAGTGTGTGGAACTTCTAAAAAGGGAAAATCACTTCCATCAGGAATAATTCAGAAATGCTTTTCAGAGGAAATGGCATATGGGCTGACTTTGATGAATAGGTAGATTCTCCGTAGTGTCAGTAATACAGAGTCCGGGGGTAGAGACTGCTGAGTGTTCACAAAGCCATTCCTCTTCCTCTTCTTTTTTTTTTTTTTTTAAAGATTGTTTATTTATTTGAAAGACAGAGTTACAGAAAGAGAGAGGGAGAGATATAGATACCTTCTGTCTGTTGATTCATTCCCCAAATGGACACAACTGCTGGGGCTGAGCCAGGCAGAAGCCAGGAGCTTCACCAAGGTCTCCATCGTGGGTGCAGGACCCAAGCACTAGGTTCATCTTCCACTGAGCTACCAGGACTCAAACCAGTGCCCATATGATATATTGGCATTGCAGACAGCAATTTAAGCTGTTATGCCACAATGCCATTCCTCTTCTATCTGGGTTCATAGATACATAGTTTTTCTCAGATTTTTTTTTTTTTTTGAGTATGCAATACCAGTGAGTGCTAGCCATTGGAACATGACTAGAAGTGATAAGGGCCCCTTCTAGGTCCAGCCCATAACGAATGCCAAGAGCTACCCTTCGTATGCTTTTCCCAGCTCCCTGCCAGACTCAGGTGACTTCCAGGCCCGGAGGGGTGACAGAATTAGAGGGGAAAAAAAGAAGCCTGGATATCAAGTACTCCATGGTGGGGGAGGGGGAACTCTCCAACAAAGAGCATCCACATTGGGCTATTAACATCTTTTCTGTTACCAAAGCTAACATAACTCCAGACAATCAGCAAGCCAAGGGAGACAAGGTTTCTGAGCGAAAGGACAAAGCTAGACTATTTTAAGACATGTCAAAAAGGAACAGAGGTTATGGGTAGGCAGGGTGGGCAGGTGTTGAGGCCATGATAGGAAAGACAGTCTAGAAAATTGAGAATTAATACTCAATCTGTCAACAAGAGAGCACCATGAAAGGATTATGAATGGAAAATAGATGTGCAGTTTTTTTAAGAAGATTAATCCAGGATAGAGGGCAATTAGGTTAAGCAGATCAGCATGGACATCATTACTAGAATTAATACACACCTGCACCATCCCTCCAGAAAAGGGAATTGGAAATGAGGGGAAGGCATAAGAGTCTGTCATAGGGGCCAGCGCTGTGGCATAGCGGGTAAAGTTGCCGCCTGCAGTGCCGGCATCCCATATGGGCACCAGTTTGAGACCTGGCTGCTCCACTTCTGATCCAGCTCTCTGCTATGGCCTGGGAAAGCAGCAGCAGAGACCCAAGTCCTTGGGCCCCTGCACCCACATGGGAGACCCAGAAGAAGCTCCTGGCTCCTGGCTTCAGATTGGCCCAGCTCCGGTTGCAATGCATTTTGGGAGTGAACCAGTGGATGGAAGACTTTCACTTTCTCTCTCTCTCTCTACCTCTGCCTTTCAAATAATAAATAAATAAGTTTTAAAAAGAAAGTCTGTCATGGGAACTGAACATTTTATTACACTCATTTTGTACCTATCTACTCTGAGTGGACCAACAGCGTCTCTTGGGCAAGTAAAATTTTGTATTTATTTATTTACTTATTTATGTATTTCCTAGGATTAAAACAACCTATGACACATGCTAGGGAATGTTAAAAAGTTGGTTAAATGTGGGTGTTTGTTCTTAGATACACTGAGGTAACCATGAGAGGGAAATTAAAAATGTCCATTGGGATGATGGGAAAAAAAAACCACGTTTGAAACCTGGGAGATGAGATGGGCCTGCCTGAGGAAGAGACGCAGGATTTATAATCAACAGAGAGATGCAGGGAGAGAAGTGCAGAGCACTGCAGACACAATCCTGAAGAATCATTACCTTTAGGGAGAGGACGGGGACAAAGAGGAAGCGAAAGGAGGAGCAGGTAGAGCCTGCAGGGCACAGGAGCAAGAGTGTGAAATCAACCAAAGCAAAAGAAGAATTTCAAGAGGGCAGGATTGGTCAACAGATGCCAGAAAAGTAACTTTCACAATGGCTTTTGAAATCAAGTTCTGTTCAAGAAGTCAAGAACGAAGACAGAGGAAAGGTGACTAAATACGGAGACGGGAAAGGAAATGATGACGAAAGAACTTGAAGCAGGGTCATGAAAGTTGAACTAAAACCTTTGAGTTGTGCTGATGGATAGGTCAACTGAGAGACTTAAGTTATGAGCCACTATGATTAAAGGAAGGAACCTAATAACGTTGTCTCTTGCAAGTAAAATTTGCCTTTAAATATTTTTTTTACTTGAAGGATCTATTAAGATGGGAAAAAATTATTTAAAAAAAAACACCTGTAATGAGATATAACTCATACACCATGTGCCTCAACCAGTTAGAGTGTGTGATTCAGCGGTTTTTAGTTCATTCATGGAGTTGTGTAACCATAACCAGACTCTAATTTTTGTCACTCCAGAAAGAAGCGCTATAATCATAGTTACTTCCTGTTTCCTTAGCTCCAGGAAATCACTAATCTGCTTTCTGCCTCAATAAACTTGGCTATTGTGTATTGTATAAATGGAATCATATAATATGCATTCTCTTGGTGCTTGGCTCCATCTACTTAGCATAAGGTTTCCAAGATTCATTTATGTTATAGCCTGTACTGTATTTCTTCTAATTGAAGAATATTACATTTCACATATCCATTCATCAGCTGATGGAAAATCATAATGTTTAAACTTTTGACTTTTGTAAACAATGGTGCTATGAAAATTTGAGTACAAGTTTCCTTATGGACATGTGTTTTCATTTCTCTTTGGTCCATACCTAGGAGTGGAATCCTGGGCAGATGGCAACTCTATAGGTGACTTCTTGAGAAAAAGCTGGACTGTTTCCCAAAGTGGTTACACAACTTTTCATTCACACCAGCATTGCACAAATGTTCTGGATTTCTCCACATTCTTGCCAATATTTATCTTTATCTGATTTAAAAGTAGTCATTCTCGTGGGTATGAAATGGTATCTCTGTTGTTTTGATTTGCATTTCCCCAATGGGTACAGATGTTGAACATTTTTTCTATGTCTTTATTGACTATGTATATATCTTCTTCAAATAAATGTGTATTCAAATCCTTCAGTCTTTCAAAGTTGTGTGATTTACGTTATTGAGCTATGACAGTGAAAGTTATTCCTGTTTGTAGAGGAACTATTTCTGGATAGTTCTTTTGATTGCTTTTAACTGTAATTAAAGGGGGTGCGATGGTCCTCTTTTGTGCCATGCAAATTCTAAGTTTTACCTTTATTTGTCACCTATGGTGGCAGTTTGAGGCATTAATGGACAATTCACAACACTCCACTTTCTGTGGTTTTTCTTTCTTTCCTTTCCTTTCTTTCCTTTCTTCTCTCTCCCTCTGAATTTAGTATAGCCAGGCAGATAAGATTAAATCGATTAGATTTGTGAGCCAGTGCCATGCCTTAGCCCTGCCCCCCTTTCGTGGTCTCAGGCCCCTACCTGAC